CCCCGGGTTCGGAAGCGCCGCCGTTCGCGGGTTTGCGGAGCACCGGCGGCGCCGGGTCCGCTGCGGGAGGGCGGCGGTGCGGGCTCTTGTGCACGCCGGCCCTTCCTTCCGTGCGCCTGCTTTCCTGCCTTTTTATGGCATCGGTTGGTTGGGTGGTTGGGGTTTTTGTTGTCTTATTTTTTTCCAGGCAGGAAGAGCGTTTTGTTCGGCTAAAGCGGCCGAATGGAGCCGTGGTTGTGTTACGGCATCGTGTCTCCAGGAGGAAACGGGCGCTGATGGATCGGGAAGGGAAGGAACGCGCTCGGAGTGTTCAGAGCGGTGCCTTTTGTTGGCGCCTTTCTAAAATTAAACTGTTGGTGGAAAAATAATCTTTGTTACAGATCCAACTTTCCACTATTCCAGCGGAAGCTCGGTAGGCACAGGGACGATCCTGCAGATTCCCTCTGAGGGAGAGAGACTGAGGTTTAACACCACTGATTTTTGTCCGTTTTTATACCAGGAAAAAGAGCAGGACCCTGGTACTTGGTGCTGACTTTTACCCTTCTTTGCTCTACTCTTCAATGTATACTTTTTGTATCCTTCCGTTGAAGGAACCCATTTTTCTCCTGTAACTAATTTTTGCAGGCATGGCTTTATCAGCTAGCCGAATTTTTCCTTTCCTTAGTACTTGCACCTCATCTCATGTTTACTTATATATTGAAATTTCTCTTTCTAATACTAATATTTTTCTTTATTTTGATACCTGTCGATGACTTGTTGACTGACTTTCAGAAATGGTGAGGTCTCTCTCATAGAAGAGAATGCTCTCTGAATATAGTGTATCTTTGTAACTATTTGGGTAAAAAATGTGGTACAGTTTTGTTTTAACTAAACAGCCAAATTGTGTACGTTTCCATGATTTTAAAACTAATGGAAATACGGGGGTGTAGCACCATCTAGTTTTACTTGCATCAACAAGTGTAAATAAAAGAGATTGGTTTGGACTTCAGATTATAACAGATTCCCTTGACTTTTTCTGTGGGAAACCAAAAATGTCTTGAAGGAAATGCCGTTGACTCACAAGTGCTTTTAATATTCTGATCTAGAAAACGATCCCCATGTAATGCTAACAGAAGTATGTCACTGGATCAACCATAAGGGCTGAAATTAGGATTTAAGTGGTCTTTTGTTGGTTCACTGCAGGGTGTGAATTTTACCTGCTGTGAAAAAATTTTGTTATACTACAGTGCCCTGATAATCTCTGTGGCACTATTAAATAACAACAGCTTTCAAGCTTCCTTTTGCATTCAAAAAAACCCACCCTAAACCTGTTGTGCATTCTGCACACAAAAGTATGAATATTACATCCATTTTCTTTAATATGAGAATGTCATTATTGCTATCCCACCCTTGTTCACAGAGTGAACAGGCACAGTTTTTCCTTGGCAGCCTCACTGGATCTCACTTGGTGACTAAGGCTACAGGAGTGCTCCATCTGCAAGGGAAATAAAATACTTTCAGTGCTAGTTAAAACATGTTTCTCACTCTTGCCTGGCTTCTGTATGACCTTTAATCCTGTAACATGCAGACATTTCTCAATAGGTAGTGATGAAGTGCTATTGCCTCCATTTTATGAATATAAATTGAAGCATGGAGGAAACAAGCGACTTTTTTTCAAGGCAGTGTGGGGAGTTAGCGGCAGGGCAGGAAACTGGAACATGAAAATGTAGGTTCTGTGCCTTTGTATCTTGCCCCTTAATGCATCTTCTTTTATCTGCTGCATCTGTTTGTTTCACATATTTGTGTGTATTATTGCTTGGTAATTAATAACTTATATTTTGGGTGTTACAGGGGGAGAAGGAAATGTTAACCTCACTATGATTCAGAATATTTTAGTTTTTAAATTATATATTTACATATTAAAAAATCCTTACTTCTTCATCAGGTGATACATCTGGTACTTGTGATTTGAGAAGCAGGAACCAGTGGTGACATTTTTCCCCAGAGGTTTGCTGGTTTTACTGCATGGAGGTGTGCTCATGGAGATTTGTGACAGCTGTTGTTACCGATGTGTTGTACCAATCCTAAGTGCCCATGTGCAATTGTCAAGAGTAAGATTCATGCAAAAAGATAACAAGGCTTTCTTTAAGTAACATTCATTTTGGGAAAATGTACAGAGCAATAATTGTTTCTTGGGTCAATCTGGGGAGAAGTGACTGCCCTATCCTTGGAGAGTGCACCATGACACTCTCAGTCTTTGGACATGGAAGACAGGGAAAGGAAATGCTGAACTGGTTTCACTGTTTTCTCTCAAATGACCTACGTTCATTTCTGTCTTGGAGGGTTGCCTGAATTCTGGGCATGTACTCTGCAGAGGTCAAAGGATCCCATAGTCTCTTTGAGTGCCTGGGTCTGGCTGGGTCAGAAACCTTCTGATCCACTACATTTTGTCTAGGCGAAAATAAAATAATAAGTCAAACAAGTACGCATAGTTCTTTGACTTATTTCCTAGCTCCCATCTCACTGGTTCAACTAGGGATTTCCTCAGCAAAGTGTCTTTGTGTTTACCTTTATATTTGACAGCCTAAAGTAGGCTGGTAGCCTAAGTAGCCTAAAGTAGGCTTTTTAAATTTAGGTAAATTGTGTGTGTGCAGTATCCCATGATTATAACTTTCATGACTGCTTGAAAGATGACCACTTCTTTCCTGTTTTTGAGCCTGCTGCTTCATGGTTTTATTTAGTCCCCAGCCCCCAGTTCCTGTTTTGGGAGCCGATGAGGAGTTGGTTCCTTTCAGCCTTGATGTGCAATCATGTCTTGACAGACCTGTGGTGTCCCCTGCCATTACCTTTTTGCTGAGCTGAAGTTGTAGGTGCAGTGAGTCATTCCTATGTAAAATCCATTTCATATTGTTGCCAAGTGTGTTTTTGTAAACTAGCTCTGTCTCCTGCGTGCCCTGGGCAATAGGAAATCCCCTTCAAGTGGAGCTGAGCCTTGCAGACAGACCCCCACTGGGTTTTGGTCCTGCTGTCTCCAATCCTTATAATTGTATCCTGGCCAAAGTTAAGAGGATCTAATAGGATTATTCATTTAGATCAATTCAAGTTCATGCAAGTTCAAGGGGTTTTTATTGCTAGAAACATCCTCTGTTTTTTCCTCTCAGATCTCACAATAGTAATCTGTGGATAAGTTATTTCTGTGCATCCCCGCCTCCCCCAGCCCAGTTGATTGGCATTGTATAACTCTTTGACTTCTTTAAGTGTCTTTATTTTATTGTAAGGGATGTTTTATCAACTTTCATCTGGTTCTGGGTCTCAGGGCAGCCACTTGGTCTTTGTTATGTCAATGTTGCTAAGTTCTGTTTTGTACCAGAGGATAATTATAAAACCACAGAAAAATAACTGAAACTGGCGAGCACTGATACATGTTTTTGAACACAATTGGTGTATCCACAATAGCTACACACAAGGTATTCCTGTAGCTAAAATGCTAATCTGAGACCTCAATGGAGATCCCCACCTGCTACCAGTTCCTTGTGAGAGCTTGCACAAAGTTAGGCTTTCTCTACACTTTGAACTTTAGGAGCAAATCTCAGACTTGACTGTAGCTGTATCCAAAGTGTGACAAGATTAGGTTTATGCTTCTTTCCATCTTCTCTTGAATCTGGTCTTGAAGGATTCTTATATATATGGGACAGAGGGACACCTAAGTATTTTCCAAAAGATTGTCTGATCCAGACTATAGGATGAGCACAATTGAGGTGAGCAGTGTTCTCCAGCAGGAGATACAGGTCAGAGCAGTGTGAAATACCAGTTTGGGGCTTGTATGTCTGTAAATCGTAAGAAATTCCTGTCTGGGTTTAGTATGATTTAACTTGGCTGTTGGCTTGCTCCAAGACTTGACCTGATTGAGCAGAGCCAGCTCTGGTGGTTTTGCACCTAAAATATATCCACAATAACGGTCACCTATAGAATTTTCTTCTAAGAAAACTGTTCACAAGTTTATTTGTATATGTTGCAAAGTGCATTTTTGAGCACATGCTTTTATTTTTGTGTATCTTTAACTGCTAATCATGCCAGGGCAACCAGGCATCTTCTCACAGGGAGTGAGGATTAACAGAACAAAGAAGAAATTTTGAGGTGCTCAGGTATTGTGAGGATGATCATGGGCAATGAAAGTGCCTTAGATGAATGTTCATTTGTACTTCCTGGTTAAAAGCTTCCTTTAAAAAAGTCAGCATTGCCTTCACAACAAAATCAGATATGTGTACCTCTTTCTCTTTTTATATATCCAGCATAGGAAAAAAAAAAATTGCTCTTTTGCAGGTTGAATTCACAGTCTTTTAATTGTTTGTTCCAGGTGGTTCTAGTATGAGCAGCTTGCTCAGACAATACATGTTTTGTGCTTTTTGTATTGTAGCTTTAAGTCACTGTGGTTTTATTGAATTAAAAGAAATCTCAGCTTTAAACAAAGAGTTTCATGCCTATGAATTCCACATAGGTAGGTAATTGCATTTTTTGGAAGAGATGGCATGCAAGCTGCTTTTTGCTGTAAAAGACTGAGATGTGTTTAATGACAGCAGAGCAATATGTGTATGTCTGAGCACTTGGCAAGACTAAGTTCTTTCCCATTTAAGCTTTGCAGGTGGTAGCAATAACCCAGTAATGCATTAGCACAGCTTCTGTAAGAGCTGGTTCGCAATGGTTTTCCAGACGGCTGTTCCTAAAATAAATTCAAAATTTCAGAGATATAAAGCAAATAAAATTACATAAAGCTGCAAGGGAAATATATATGTGTGTAGAAGGAGATTGAAAACTACAGCACATACAGAATTTGTACTGGTTTTGGGGATTCATGAGTGCAGTTCTGGGAAAAACAGTGTTATCAGTATTTAGTCAATCAAACCATTTTTTGGTGAAGAATGGTGGAGGCACTTGGGTTAAAGATTTAATTAGATATAATTAGCTAGTAATTTTTTTAACCTCCAGGCAGGATTATTTAAACTCTGCTTGCAGTCATGTGCAGATATATATACCTTTTAGTAGGCTTAAGGTTATTGTTCAGGACAGAGGAATTAGATAATGCATTGAATGGATGTGTACTGTTAAATTCAGATTTCTTTAAAAGACATCGTCTTTTATTTTTCATCTAATTTTCTGTCCTCATTCCTCCTGTGCAAATTCAAGAATTCCTATGTCTGTGTTGCTCATAAGGCAATAGGCTGTCACCTACATCTGTCTCTGCCTGCGCTTACAGGTGAGGTAATTCTGTTTTGATATTTGATGAGCAATAAATCACTTCTGAACTGCCATGATTGTCCATTAAGCTGTAGATTTGATTTCTGAAACGGTTTCTTGTTCTGTGTGATCCAGTGTTGATTAAAAATGACTCTTCCCTTCAACTGCAACAGTACTTACATGCTAAAGTAGTAACTATCTGTTCAAAGATAAAATACTCAAGGATCACTCAAAGGTAATGCTGGTGTGTGAGAGGAAAATTGACAAATGAAAAAAGAGAGAAGTCTGTGGAGTGGAATAACACTCTGCCATGCCTGAAAACCCTTTTGAACTTGCTGTACTATAGTTCTTAAATGCAGCTGTAGATCTTGTAAGAGACTGCAAAAGTCAAAATAAAAAGCTAAAAAGTCCAGTACCCATATTCAGTGGTGAGGTGGCCATTTTACTGCACTGATAGTGCTCTTTACCATTCTTACATGCTGTATAGATGAGAGCAGAATGAAACACTTGCATTTCAGGGTTTAACAGCTTTGGTTTTCTGTAAACTGGTTGTATAGTGCAACCACAATACCGGGAACTCGTGTTCGTAACAATTAGTAAAAATTCCCAACTTGGATCACTGTTTGTGATGGGGATGGTTGAGTCCAAGTGTGGCAGCTCATATAGATCAGATTGCAGGACTGTTCTCCATCTTTAGATACATTTCTGTTGGCTAAGCTGGTTTGAATTAAATAAAGTCTTCCTCACATGTGCTGTATAAAACAAATAATCAATGTTGAGTT